TTTTCTCTGAAATGTCAGAATTTTTTTTAAAGGACTTTGAAATTTCAAAAATAGGAAGAACCGAAAAAAATATAAACAAAAGCAGTGCAATGTAGAATACAAATCGTCGATGTTTTTGCAAAACCGCCCATCGACCAGTTTAAAAACCCCCTAAATCGCCATTGTGACATAAACGACAATTGGTAAACTTGAACTCCAGGGGCGTATTTCATAAAAGTGACAGGTGCTACAATTGTCGATTTTTCTATAAAATTTCACTGCCACAATTGTCGGCGACATTTTTCCTGGTTCATATACATTTGTAGGCAACTGTGAAAATTTTTGTAAAACGACAGTGATAATATGGAATATTGTCGATAACTGTGCTGACAATTGTCACTCTGACAAAATTGTCGCGACACACAGTGCTTCCCTTCCATATAAAACGCGGGCAAAAATAGAGTTATGGACGGATTTAAATGAAAATTCGCTTCTTAGTAAAATTGAGGACGCTAAATTCAAAAATGCAATTAGTATTTAGATAACTTTCATACTTTCACTGTAAATTAAAAATTAAAATTGAAAATTTTGTGTTATTGTGGCTTTTACATAGGTATGTACATATATGTAGTTCGTTCTATTTTCAAAAGTGAGGTGTCAAATGACAGGGGTTGGCCTGTAGATGTGCAATAAAGTTTTTATTTTTAAAAGTGTGCCAAATTTGTAACATTTTATTAAAATTATTTAGTAAGTCAAATGAACTAGATATTGCATTATGGGTATCAATTGAACTAGTTTTGAAAATACTTTACTTCCAAACGACAGGTAAAAGGGTTGCCACATGTTTAAAAAATCAAATTCACTTTAATTAAGGGAATAAGGTAACTAAAATATGTATATCAAAATTAGTATCAGAAAAATGAAAAAAGTTGACATATTTAGAAAGAAATAAGTGACGAGTAAAAACATTAATGAGTTAATTTAAGAGTCCAATAATTTAAAGGAATTGTAATCAGAAAAAATCACTGATTAAAAATGTATATATTTGTAATAAAATAACAAATACGATGGCGTAATCCTATGGTTTGACGTAATTATTATTTTAGTTTAACTAAATTCGACTTTATAAAGAGGTGGCAACCCTACTCGTGATATTTTTTAGCTAAAACCTTCTTAAATATCTTTCGTCTGACTCCCTTATGGTGATACCTATCTATTTAAATTACCTAATTCCTTTAATTCAAGTGGAATTTAATTTTTTAAACAGGTGGCAACTTTCTGCATGTAGTTAGTATGCATTTCGATTGATACCCATCTCTTCAATTTCTTCATTTAACTCATACAAAAATTGTAATCTAATTTTGTAACAATCTAATTTTTTAACAGGTGGCAACTCTTTTTAAAAAAATAAACCCTCTATTTGTCAACAGGTCAAGCTTTTTAATCTGACACTTCATTTTTGAAAATGGAACGAATCGTGCAGATCTCAAGGCAATGACAAAAAATGATTTTATGCATTAGCGAAAAACACATTACTTCAGAAAGTGCAAAAAATTAGCAGGTTTTTATTTCTTCCTTTGAAAGCTAAAAGCTTGTACTATTTAATAAAATAATAAAAAATAAGCTATTTTTACATATATTTTTTATTTAAAAATTTGCAATATTTATTTTTGAAAAAATTATATGTGCAGGACTAATATATACACCACCACTTCCTCGAGTTTCGTCCTTCTAACTTTGTTAGCTTAAAAATTAAACTTAATCTAAGGCGCAATTTCATTAACTATTTGTCCTTGTAAAGCTAAAAAAAACTCTACACTTTTATTTTCTACATAGCCTCTTCTTTTCATTTGGTACCCATATTGTAATCCTACATTGCACTGATTTTTTAAATAATTTTTTTAATTAATCATATCTTTAAAACCTCAAAGTCCTTTAAAAAAATCTCGACCCATAGTTTCGTGCGTATGTATGTATATTGTTTTTTCCACTGGCTATGAAAATTAAATGGAGAAGCTTTGGTATATGAAGAAAGCAAGTATTTTTAATTAAAAATTTAAATTTTTCAAATACAGTTCTCGCTCAACTCTTTTCAAAATATTAATTCCGGATCCCCTTTAATCAATATCTACATATATACAAATCTGGCTGATAATTACAATGTAGGGACGCTAAAATGACACAAAAAGGCGCCGAGACTAGTGATGGTGAAAAAATCTAATAATGGGTTAATCGGTTAATTGATTAATCGAAAGCATTTGATTATTAATTACAATTCATAGTAAGAAATTAACCCATTAATCGATCGTTTCGATTAAAATCGAAAAAAAAAACATTTTATAAGTTATAAAAAAATTGACCGTTTGACGCTATGACTAGCAAAATAATAAAAAAAAAAGTTTAAAAGTGTATACCAATAAACCCCATGTCAAAATTATAACCCCATCCCACATTTAAGAATTAAAAATCTTGTTATTTAATTTGAGTAATATTTATAAAAATGTGTGAATTTTTTAACAAAACGCGTATAAACCCAAGTTCAACCTTTAGGTAATATTAAAAAAATTCAACTAACTTTCGTAAAATTTCGAGCTTTTTAAGAAGATTCCTTAGAAAGACTTGGAGTATGCAGTTCTGTAGTCCATTGAATATTAGTATAATAAAATTGGCCTAGGGCGGCAATTTTTGATTGCGTAATTTTTATGCTTACATTTTTGCTTGAGTCAAGGAGTAAACTTCACTAGCCGAGACACGTAAACTTAATTTTGTTTGTTTGTGATCTGTATACCATTTTTTTAGATCAGGTAATTTTTACAATATAATTTAATTTTAGGTTCGCATTGCGAGCGAATACATTGTACAAGTACGGCCATGTACGTTGTGGCGTATGAGTAATATGATTACCTGGGGCCTATTTCATAAAGCGACAGTGATAATTTTGTAACGACGAGCACTTTCCATGTTGTCAGTGACAATGCGACAGTTTGGAGGGTGGTTTTTTTCTTTTCATAACAACAATTGTCACCACCTCTAAAATTCCATGACAACTTCCAACGAAAAAGTGACAAATTGTCATTGTCAGGGTTCAAAATTGTAGTTAACAAAATTGTCGCAAGTCATATAAAATGTATATGAAAATCATATGTAATAATTACATTGTATTATTTTAGTTTTAAGAAATATTAAAACTATTGAATAGTAATGAAATGCGCACAATTACCATATAAATACATTTACAAAACTCTCCTGTGAACGCTTTGCGACGGAGCTATTTGGTTTCGTCGCTATTGTCGCAACAATTTTGTCAGAGTGACAATTGTCAGCAGAATTGTCGACAATATTCCATATTATCACTGTCGTTTTACAAAAATTTTCACAGTTGCCTACAAACGTATATGAAACAGGAAAAAAGTCGCCGACAATTGTGGCAGTGAAATTTTATAGAAAAATCGCCAATTGTCGCACCTGTCACTTCAATGAAATAGGCCCCTGGCCCTACTTCATACAAAAAATATTTCATATTTTCATTTAAACATTCAAAACTAGTTTATTTATTCATCCATTTACATCGTTAGCTAGTGATTTTTTGTAAAAAGGAGGTGATTTTAAGCAAACTAAAGAAACTAGAAAATATTTGATATATTTTAATTTTTTTCTTGTTGAAGTTTGCATTTTTTTTTTAATAAAAAAAGAAAATATCTTGCGAAAATTACCTAATCTGGAAAAACAGTATACAGATCCATAATTTACGACCCAATGTTAAGTTCACGTGTTTTGGCTTTTTTTGTGTAATTTCAAACCTTGAGATTTTCCCGAAGTACCTTATCTATCATATAAGAGGCAAATGGTTATTCCGGTAAAAAAAGTCACAATAAAAGGGTTCGAATTAAGACTTATAAAATTGGCATCATACAAGACCATTTAATTGACAATCTTCTATTTAGTTGCTGTCAGTTTCTCCACTTAAACTTACCAAAGAAAATGTATACTTCTTAATTACAAAACGAAATGCATAACGCATGCAATAATCCAATAAAATATACAGCGCATATCTACCTTAAATTATGCCAAAAATAGACAACGTAGCATTTTTAAGAGGAATCACGAAATGACTGTTTCTGCATATGAATTCGTTTCATGGTTAAACCTTAATATGGTAGTGATTGCATTGCGGGTACACTTCTTACAAAATGCTTTTAAAATTTGCAATAATTTTCTCACAAAGTTGACCAGAGCCGTAGTTTATATGAATATAGCCGAAATATGTAATTTAAAAAGCCTCAAACAATTGGGGTCAGATATTTGAACCACAGGAACATTTACGATTTCGAATACCAATCAAAATGGAACAAAGCTAAACTAATTCAGCCTTGGTCAATGCAGAAATGATGGCAAGTAGTGGAAAAGTTTCTATAATGCGATTAAAAAGAGTTGCCTACACACTCACACACAGAGAAGCATGCGTACAAACAGAATTAACTTACCAACGATTTATGTAGATACAAAATCGGATTGCAAATGTAAACACAAAAATGCAAAACTAAAGTAACAACAACAAGTAGCTGGCAAAGTTGTGTAACTGAAATGGGTGACTAGTCGCACCCCGGCTTTGCAGGCTAGTTGTGTAGGCACTTGGCTGTTTGGTTGCCAACCTCTGAGCCATTTGCTTAAGTTGCCGGCTTACAAATACGCTGGTGACTGGACAGAGGCCGCTGCTAGTTTCAATTCGTTTCTATAATTTTCATGCAAAAAGTACGAGGCCGCACACAAACTCACTCTAGGATCTAACAAATGCGCTCACATTCCTTGTGTGCATTATTACTCGATTATTCGGTTCCCATTTACACATTTCAACACATCATTTGCATTTGGAGAGCAAACTTTTTGATTTTCATGAGATTTACAACGGCAAATTGCAAATTTTCTATTTGTTGAACACATACAAACGCACACTAACATTCATTCACTCAGCTGCAGGCTGCATGCTGGTCGTTCAACGTTTCTAATGGTAATTAACTTACATGATGCACTGTGGCCTTCTGGCTGATGGTGTTGGCTTTGTGCGGAATGCCGTTCTTTTTACTCTTCGCCGCCAGACTGGGCGGTAGACCACGCGTTGCCGCAATATCCTCGTAATCGGATGATGGGCTTGGCGAGAGCGATGGCGACGCGCCGATGCCGCCGCTCAGAGTACGATAGCGGGCGGTGCAATTGTTGGTGCCGATCTGCAAAAACGTATAAATATGAAACGAAAAATTTAAATCAGTGGCAAAATAGTGAAAACTAGTTAAACATGGTTGGTGGTGGAGGAGGATGTTGAGGTAGAATGTCCACTTTGGTTAGTAAATTGGTGGCAAATTTAGATTGGCCGCACATTTTGCACGAAGGACGGAAGCATAAAATGTGCTGGAGTAACTTGGATGGATCCTACATATTCACTAGTTCAACAGTTGAAACGATAGATATCCTCAGAGTAAACTAAATTTCTTAGAAGCAAAAACCGTAAAGGCTTTGGTTTTTAAAACAAAAATCATAATTCTACCGTTACGATTGGATTTGGATTTTTTTGATCAAATTTAATCGCTATTTTATGACCTTAACTTTAGCAATCAAGAATAATTGCTATTTTTAAATTTTTGTTTTTTCGGTCATTTCTACCACAACATTTGTTTTCAGATTTAATTTCCTAGTTCATGAAATATTTATACAGGTCATGGAAACGCATTGCCCATTATAACAGTCAAAAGTGATTGAAAAAATATAAGTACAAAAAAACAATTTTTTTTATGAAAAAAAAATAAACTAAATAATTAGTGCTAGTTTTAAATAACAATTTTTTCACAGCTGTTCAAATTTGTATAGCAGGTGAAAATGCCCAGATCCATACAATTTAGAAGTTAGCGGACTCGCATGGCGTATGAGCAACTTTTAAATGGTAATAAATGAGTTGGCTGATTGTGGCACGCAGCTATTGGCCCAGAGCGGACAAAGAAAAACAAATTGACAAAAAGATATTTAGAGAATATAAATATGTATGTACTTATGAGTAGTAAAGTACAGCGCAATCGTAGTGGCGGCAGTTGACGCTGCGGCAAAAATTACACTAGTGCAACAAATTTGCAAAGTTGTTTTAAAAGCTTTTCGAAAAAAAACGTATAGTTTCTGTTTGAAATTTTATTGCTTTGCTTTCAGCTTTTTAGTTTTGTTTTGATTTTGGCTTTGCTCTCCCAGCGTTGCCGTGCAGTCGAAATGCGGCAGCGGCTGTGCCAAACTGAATGAATGGAGAAATCATTACTTGCTGACTGCAAAACGGTAAAACAGCAGCAAAAGTTTGTTGTTAAAGTGCACTTAATCAATTTAGCGGCCGCCAACATTGAAACAGCTGCCACCACTCGTTGGTCGCTTAGCATCTGTTGGCTACTGGATGCTGATTGCCGCCTGGCGTTGCACCAGATGACAACTCGATACTTTCTTTTGCTATTAACGCAAATGATGAAAAAGTGTGCACAGGTTGACGGTCGCGTTGCTGTTTGCATTGCCTTTAGTTGTTCTACCAATACTTTTATTATTTTATTTTATCGCATTTGCTGCAAATTGTCTTTGACATGTTTTTCTTGGCACAAAGCTAATTTCAGCTTTTCATTTAGTTCTTAGAAGTTTGAAATTATTCAGTTTTATATTATTTGCTTTTACTTACCGACACAGCACTTAGACGCGAAGTGACACTTTGCAGATCCGATATTGAGCCTGCGTAGTCGCCGCTTTCCCGGTCATGCGATCTGGAAATGAATGAAGACATGAACATAAATTATTTGAGGAAAATGTTAAAGATGTGCATAGTAAAGGTGCTTTTTTTATGAAATGAATCGCTTTAGGTTTGAGCAACGTTGGAAAATAATGCAAACGAACTGGACAACGAATTTGTTCAAAAAATCATATTTTAGTCAAAGCTGCTGTATTTTGGGATCGGAATGAAACCAATGCAACCTCAGAGAGTGCATTTTTTTTAGTATTTACCATTGTGAGCTGGGATTGTAGCCCTCTATGTGAAAAACAGCATCATTTAAAATAATGGATGACTTCAACAATAATGTGAGCATGGAGATCAAGCGCAGACCAATTTTTGTAATTACGAGCAGTTTCTTGATCTACCGGAGCACGCAAACCTTTCCAAACGACAACTCAGGCATACTCCTCTCCTGCGGTTGAACACTAAAAGCGTCCCATATGCGATGGACATGGGCGCCTCGTTTAAGTAAATCAAAAGCAGGATTACCGAAATTTACATACAACCCACTTCAAAACCAAACTTTGCTAAGAATGAGCAAGTAAAATACCTGAAAAATCCGCGGCTATCTGCTCGGGACACTGACCCATAGATGTAGATGCCAAAGTGATCGGCATACCTTTCAACAAGTTCTGCGGGAGTTGCAAGAACTAGCGCTCGACAAAACAGTTAAACACTTTCTTTACGAGTTCCTGTAGGAGTGAGGTTAAAAACACCTGGTTAACCATTCCTGCAGATTATTTCAGATTGAAGTTGCCGCTATCTGTTTGATATACTTGGGTGACAAACCATCTAATACAATACGCGACGGGATTTTTCAAATGGCCGATATCAAGTAAAGATAAAGATGTTCGCGCAAGTTACATGGCCCAGTTTGCATATACATAAGTATGTACGACGGGTTTCGAAGAAAATAGGAGCTTGCTTAAAAGTATGTATAATAGTTGCACTGGCTGCGACAAAAATCGAATTTGAAGTTTTGAAGACCATTTAATTTTAGTACAGCAAAGTGCAAGTTTGAAATCTCTTAAGTTTACCGTTGATTTTTTAGATGGTGTCGCGCATTTTCTTCATACATACTCGTATAACGCATGATCAAAATCGATTATTATATGGAGAAAAAGCCACAACACCCTCCAAACATTTAATGGGCTATAAAACTGCACAGTCGTAAATTTATATAAATGCTGAATAAAAAGTTCAACATTTTTATGCATTTCTTTTAAATTTTTGTGAATTTTATAAAAAGAGTGAAACTGTGATTACTTGGTTTACGTTATAGAATTAACTACGTTTTCATAAAAAATTAATGAAAGAATTCTTTCGTGAAAATAATGTAAATATTATATTAGAACAATGTGTATACTAACTTTTGACTCTGGCTGTATATACACTTGCAGTGATTAACTACTGGAACTTCCCAACGAAACAGAGGCAAAATTTAGCCTTCTGGTCTTGGAAAACCCGATAAAAGGCGGCAGACAAATTAAAACAAAAAGCGGTCAAGTAGTAGCACGTGATATGATAATGAGAATAAAATAAACATTAAAAATTTGTTCTCTATCTACATAAGTAGTATATACGCTTATATATTAGTGTAATAGACTGAGTAACTTAAAAAATATGTACGAATTTAGCAATGCTGCTCATAGTAAAGGAGATTTTCTGGGGGTGGCTGAATATGTGATTTATACTTTAATAGCTGTCATTTGGATTTATCACACAGATAAAGTGGTAAACAAACCACCAACGTCTTTACACAAACCGATATTTACTAGATACTTTTGCCAAGAACTCTAACGCCCTTTAGCTTAGCATAAAAGGATTAAAGCCAGTGCGTAAATGTAATCGGGAATCGCTTCAAAATATTGTGGCTGTAAGCAAACACAAACTGAAATTTGATGTTATCAACTCAATGGTAAAGAAGAGCAATCTTCTTGCTTTATTATAAGAAATTAAAAAAAAAAAAACTAAATGTGCTCGATAAAACCAATATTCACTGGGATATCAACTGACTGAGTGGCTAAAGGATGAGAATCAAAATAGCAATAATAACCCAAATCAACTGTCGACAAAGCATTCGAAATCATCAATTTCATATTGTTACGCACAAATTCGCACGCATACATCAGGATGCCAAGCCAGTTGGCCAGGCTAGTCGGAAACGCACTCGGGCACACAAATGCATTTAGATAAGAGTGCTGTAAATGAAGCACAATAGCCAGAAAAAGCAAAATGGATAACACAAGCGCACAAAGCAAACATAAAGTGTGAAACTAATGAGAAATCGAAGTCGTATATTGGCACTTTTAACCAGTACTGCGACAGGAGGTCAGCACGGTAGGACGATTGCATCGTGAAAGTCGAAGTGAAAGTCAAACTGATGAGCACCCTCTCGCATTTACCAGCGCCAACAACAACAACAGCTACGGTAAACGTGAGTGCGAATTGCTGAACACTCGTGATTGGCAATAGCCAACAGACAATTCGAGACACGCAAACACACGCTCAATCAAAGTTATTCAAGTGTTTTACAGTTGGAATATGTATAAAGGTGTATCTGTGATTGTGTGCTATTAGTTCAGTGTTATCCTTTTTCGTAGTTTTCCACACGTACGCATCCAAATAGACTACTTGGCATTTGAGGAGGTAAGCACTGGTAGAAACACGGACGGCGAGTCAAACAAAGCAATAGACACTGAGCAAGTTAGTTATAAATAAAACTCTGTGCCATACTCGAGTCAACGGTCGATAACGAAGTGTGACTGCGATGGTTAAATCCAAGGAGAATATGGTTACGACGCCGAAGTAATCAAAAACTTTGCACGTTACTTTTCATGTGATTTTATTCGAATCGACAAAATGAATGGGTTTGTGAATTCGAAAATTTCAGTTATACTACATAGATATGTATGTGTTTTTTGTGCATGAGGCTCAAAGGTATAAGTAAAACTGTTAATAGAGCACAATTTCGGTCAACCCAGTGAAGCTGAGTTATTACGAAGGCCGTTCTTCGAAACTATCAATGTACATATATTTCGTTTTTTACGAGTATAATTAAAGTTTAAATAGAGTATGTGCTTTTTGTACGTCTGTATTTACTTATATCTATTAAGGCGCCACACCAAAACAAGGTATCCAGTGAAACATTAAACTTGGGAAACGGTCGAGCAGAAATTTTAGACTATGCCAAGTAATTTTCGTTACCACTCGACGCTCGAAAACGGACTTGCACTGGACATGACACTCGCAATGAGGCTGAACATTCTGGGTTTGCTTCACAACAACTCACACAAAACAATAGGAGGACCGAAATGCTCATCGGCGTAGCCAGAATGAAATTTAGGGAGGGGGGGAGGGGGGGCAACACTATTAAGCTGGCATTTCAGGGTACTATTTTTTTATATATATAAGGAAAATTTGAAAGTTAGGGGGGGGGCGGCTCGAGCACCCTCCTGCCCCTACCTGGCTACGCCCATGGAAATGCTATACTATGTATTGGAAAAATCTGTTTCGCTTGATACAGCACTTTACTTCTATTGTCTTTTAGCAGCTGTGTGCAATTTCTAACATTCCACTTACGGAACAATAACAGCAGATATGCGGTTTCCGTTTTTCGCTGGCAATCATAGTCTGGTAGACCTGAGTACGTAAAATAAGCAACTTAAATATCATTTCTTCTAGACAAATTGAAAATGATATACAAAGAGTCTTTACAGTGCACTATGGTCTGGAGTTCATATTTTTGGCATATATTAAAAAAAAAATCAACTAATTTAAAAAAAAGAGATACGCAGTAATAATGGAGATATTTCAGTGGTCCAAAAAATACCAAAAATTAACTTGATACGGCAACCCTGGTCTATTTATGAGGTGTCAAAAATTAAGCTTGTGAACAGCTGTGTAAAAGATTGTAAGTAAAAATTTTATAAATTTACAATGGAAAACTACAAAAAAGGTTTCTGTTTTTTAACTGAATAAAAAAAATGTGGTTAATTGTGAAAATATCTTTATGGCGCGGTGTTTCGTTAATAAATTTTTTAAGTACAAATTTTGTATTTGCCTGTGTTTTGTGGAGTAAAAGTTGTATGTATTGTCTCGTGTTGTTCAAGATTTTTATGTTAGGTGAAAACTGAGAGTATGCTCTTTAAAATTTTGTGTTCGGGCTTTGCCCTTTTTCCCCCATATAAGAATATTTGTAACATTTTAATTCCAACACAAAGAAGTACTTGGAGTCCGGCTAGAGCGCGATCGTAAAACTTCTTCTTCTTCTTTTTGGCGCTGTAACCGCCCAAGCGATTTTGGCCGACTTCAGCAAAGCACGCCAGTCGTTTTTCCTGTGTGCCAACTGACGCCAATTGGAAATGCCAAGTGAAGCCAAGTCCTTCTCCACCTGATCTTTCCATCGCAGTGGGGGCCTCCCTCTTCCTCTGCTGCCACCAGCGGGTTCCGAGTTGAATACTTTCAGTGCTGGAGCGTCGGTGTCCATTCGAACGACATGGCCAAGCCAGCGGAGCCGCTGTATTTTAATTCGCTGCACTATGTCCATATCGTTGTAAAGCTCATACAGCTCATCGTTCCATCGTCTGCGGTACTCGCCGTTGCCAACGCGTAAAGGCCCGTAAATCTCCCGCAAAATCTTTCTCTCAAACAATCCAAGAGCCCGGTGAGGCGGTTGTCATTGTCCATGCTTCTGCGCAATATACCAGCACGGGCAGGATGAGTGACTTATAGAACGTGGTTTTCGTACGTCGAGAGGACTTTACTCCTGAATGGCCTACTTAGGCCAAAGTAGCACATGCTGGCTAGAGCGATTATGCGTTGGATTTCCTTGCTGACATTATTATTGGTGTTAATGCTGGTTCCCAAGTAAACGAAATTCTCTACTTTCTCGAAATTGTAACTGTCAACAGTGACGTGGGTGCCAAGGCGCGAATGTGCTGACTGTTTGTTTGATGACAGGAGATACTTCGTCTTGTCCTCGTTTACCACCAGACCCATGCGCTTTGCTTCCCTATCCAACTTGGAAAAGGCAGAACAGACTTCGCGGTTTTTGTTACCGATGATGTCGATGTCATCGGCATAAGCCAGCAATTGCACGCTCTTGTAGTAAATTGTTCTTGAGCAGTTCAGTTTTGCGGCTCTTATTATCTTCTCCAACATCAGATTAAAAAAGACACATGAAAGGGAGTCGCCCTGTCTGAAACCCCGTTTTGCGGCGAACGGCTCGGATAGGTCTTTCCCAATTCTGACGGAGCTGGTGGTATTGCTCATCGTCATTTTACACAGCCGTGTGAGTTTTGAGGGCATGCCAAATTCAGACATAGCGGCGTATAGGCAACTCCTTTTAGTGCTGTCAAAAGCGGCTTTAAAGTCGACAAATAGATGGTGAGTGTCAATCCATTTCTCGTGGGTCTTTTCCAAGATTTGGCGTATTGTGAATACCTGGTATATGGTGGATTTACCAGATCTAAAGCCACACTGATAAGGCCCAATAAGTTCATTGACGGTGGGCTTCAGTCTTCCACACAATACGCTCGATAAGACCTTGTAGCCTATGCTTAGAAGGCTGATCCCGCGTAAGTTGGCGCGAATGGCGGGATCACCTTTCTTGTGGATTGGGCNTTCTTGTGGATTGGGCAGAGCACACTTAAATTCCAGTCGTCGGGCATGCGTTCATCTGACCATATTCTGCACAAGAGTTGATGCATGCACCTTATCAACTCCTCGCCGCCGTACTTGAATATCTCAGCTGGCAGGCTGTCTGCGCCACGTACCTCGTCATAGTCAGGCGGTGGAACGTCGACTCCGTCATCATCGACTGCGGGCTCGGGTTCTTCTTCTCCACAACTTTCCGTGCTTGAGGGAACATGTAGAATCATTAGTGGCTAAAATTTCCCATGAGGAAACTTTTTGTGGCATTGTGATATTAATTAGCCATTTGTTAATACTTTCTCTAAAGAACGGCTTAAATATATATCGTCGTTTAAAGTGCAAAACCGCGTTTCAACAAAATGCAAAACCGCGTATCAGCAAAATGCAAAACCACGTATGTGAGGTTGCATAAATTATTTTTTAGAGAGTAAAAAGACTCATATTTCAAAATGGTTCTCTTTTTTATAAAGAAATCGCATATCTGGATAGCATATTTCAGGACGAATGGATAACGATTGAGCCAAGAACTTGTGTCAGCAAATACAATTTTTGGCAGCCAATGTCAGTTACGCGGTTTTGCGGAATGACGATACGCGGTTTTGTACTTTAAACGACGATATGTATTTTAAGGGCAAACAAATAAAATGAAGTCAATACAAACGTGATGCACAATATTGGCAACTCTGGTAAATTTTAATGATAACAAAGCTAAAAAATTTACGATTTAAAATTTTGTTAATTTCTTATTAAAAATCGTAATTTTCATTCATATATGTATATGTATGCATGTTCACTGCCTTTTAACATTTTAGCACCTTTGGCCTTAAATTCATATTGGTCACTTATTGTTAGCTGCTTTTCTTTCTAAGACCGCTCACAGTATTTATTGGTGGGCAATAAATTGATAGCTTGTACGTACATACATACATATACATACATATTTAGCACTCGTCCTACGTTTCCCGTATTCAACTTTTCTGGCTTTATTGTAAATTGCTGCAGTATTATCCTCAAACGGTAAAATATAAAGCCGATCTGCAGAATTTGTGTTGTATTTATCTGGCACCTTTTTATATTCGTATCGGCCTGTATTTTCCTAACTTTAGGTGTTTCCTTCCCAGCAGTATTTGAGTGAAGGAGCTGTGGAATTAGTAAAATTTTATATCCGAAATTTTCGTGAGATTTTCTACACAATTTATCACCTTGATAAACTCGCCGCAGCCTACCTACTTAGTTAAGTATTCAGAGGTTTTGAAAATTTTAGCGAAAAAGCAAAGTCATCTTCAAGGTCGTTGAAAATTTTAACGAGCTTGTACTACAAATTCTATTGACAGAAAAGTTCGCTTACCGCTTAGCCAGTTTTTTCAATGGGTTCACTGCCCATTTGCCAAATCTGAATAATGTCATTCGTTTTAAACTGGGAATTTAATAAATCTGTGGTGTCTTGCTCATACTCTGCTGGGTTTACTTGCACCATTTTCAAAAGCAGAATACATACGCGTATATTTTATCTGAATGTGAATGCTTTGTGAGTAGCTCTTTGGCCTATCGCAGCCATATTTATTATTAATGTGTTGACTAAAGCAGTTAGTAGCTTTTTCAACAGTAGCTAAAGCAATAATAAGAAAACCATATACAGCCCACAAAATACAATAGAAACCCTTTCAAAGTCTTCATGTTATTTTGTACTCGTTGTGCGTAGCTTTAAACTCTTTCTCAATGCCCAGATACATACTTACAGACAGATATGAATGTACAAAAATTTTTGCCTAAAGTATTTACATACTTATGCTTATACATATGTATGTAAACTTACCTGGCGTGTGTTAACGGTATTATTGTCGGTGGATTTGGCGGCTGCTGTGGCACGATAAGCCCACGCCTGGGCGGTCCTCGTTGTGGCAGTGAAATATCTCCGGCGGATCTTAATGAAATTACACCAACACTCTCACGATTCGAGGTGAAGCGAACACGACCACCCTGTGGATTAGAAGCAACAACAACAAAAATTATGTTTTATTTAGCCGTGCTGAAATATCCGTAAAGAAACATTCAAAGGAGTAATGGTGAGCATAAAAACAGTTGTGGTCTGCTGGGGAAACGCTCAGAATTATGAAAAATTAACGAAGTTTATAAAAGTTGGAAAACAACTACCTAAATACATATGGGCACATCTAAAAAACAGGTAACCTTTGTGTTGTTTAGCTTTATTTTCACTGTTGTAAACTAAATGAAGCTGGTTGCTTTTGGATATAACTCATTGACGTATACTTGAAGCCTAAAAAAAAAATTTGGATCAATTTTCTGCCTAACTTTTGAAATATAGGTGCTTAAATTAAAAAAAATAATGAAAACAAGTGAATTTTTTATGTAATTTTTAAGAGGGGCACAATTAATTATGTCATAACTTTTGAAGCACACCATATTATGATTTGAAATTAAATGGGTATTTAGCACTTATGTGTACACTTCATATGTAGTAGGTGAGAAAAGTGTGCATTAAAAAATAACGAAATGGCAAGTAACTCAAAGTCTGTAACTCCACATCTCACAATTTTCAAAATTTTCGGTTTATCGCATATAGATTATGAAGCATTTAAGTTTAAGAACTTTTTAAGTATGTATTTTATTTTACAAACAATTACGAATAATTTGACACCTTAGCAAGAGGTGTGCTTTCAGAATAAACCAACTTTTAAAGATAAAATATTCTGCGATCTTGAGCGTAATTTTTATTTCAAAAACACCTTTATTGAAGGCACATTTGGAAAATACGTCGAAACGATCTAAATCCTTCTATAACTGCTAGTCCTTATAAAATTACATATACCTGTAAAATGCTTAAAAAAAATTTATATATATAAGTGTGTAAAAACCCTGATTTAATGATGCTCCTTCTTTTAGCCGGAATATTTCGAGAGTGGTATCAAAGCAGCATTCGACAAATGTTCTGATACACCCAGAAAAAACTCCGCCAAAAATGATTCTCTCAACACAGGATTTGGTAACTATAACTAAATAATGCAACTATAACCAAATTATGTGTTGAGAGAAATATATTTAGCTCACTTTTTTCTGGGTGTAGTTGCTCTTACTTAATTGGAGCCTTCTAAATTCAATGGCGTCCTCAGTTTTACCCTGTTGGCTCCACTTTTCGAGATAGCGGTACTTGAAACTTTGCTTAAATTTTAACTATTTTATAAAAAAAACTGCAAGAGTTTTGAAGATATTTTACTAAAATTTTGCACATAACCGTTTTTTTAATATTACCTCAACTATTCCATAAAATTATCGAAATCGGTTCACTGAAATATGTAGCTCCCAANAGCGGTACTTGAAACTTTGCTTAAATTTTAACTATTTTATAAAAAAAACTGCAAGAGTTTTGAAGATATTTTACTAAAATTTTGCACATAACCGTTTTTTTAATATTACCTCAACTATTCCATAAAATTATCGAAATCGGTTCACTGAAATATGTAGCTCCCAAACAACTGATTGATCAGAGACGTTGTTTTGCGTTATAACTCCTCCAATTAAACAGGTTAAAATTTAGTATAGGTTCAATTTAACATATAGCACCCATACAATTTATTATTCAGATATGAAGTTAGAGTTATAGCGCATATATATATATATATAGCGCTATATGTTAATGTGAACATATTCCGATAATTTTAAGGAATAATTAAGGTAATATTAAAAAACTGTTATGTGCAAAATTTTAGTAAAATAACTTCAAAACTGAGGGAGTTATTTATAAAATAGTAAAAAGTTAATCAAATTTTCAAGTACCGTTATCACGAAACCCGGAGCTAATCTGGTAAAACGGGGCATGCCATTGAATTTAGAACGTCAACATCTAAAGAAATAAAGGATATCGTGGTTATCATTGGAAAAAGGCGTACCCAAAAATTGTAAGGAATGGCGATTTTCTATATTAAATAATTTTTGCCGCATTGTCATAATATTGAGCCAAATGGACTACTGATACTCTAGAATAGAGTGGCAGCATGGTTAAATTACGATTTCGCTTATATTACCGATATTAAAAAAATCACTTACAGTCTTATAGGAAATTGCCTTATTTTACTGCCTTTACATTTTTTAAGTTACAATATAAGTCCAAGCTGTGTAGAGCTGCCAATACAAACATATAGTCAGGCTTATAAGCCAGTAATTATACATTTTTATACATTTAATTTGAAATAGTATGCACCAACGGATTGAAAGCAGTAAATAATTAGTACCTTTTCTACTACTTTAAAATGCGTGACCGGAATAGACCTACCGAAAAAGTGCGGTTAAGTTACTGACAACACCTTGTTATTATTACACCATGTGGAAAATCAAGTTTAAATTTTTTGAAGAGACTTAAACTGTGTTCTCATTACAGCATAAATTACTTTGTTTCGATTAAATTACTTCACATAAACCAAGTATGTTGACATTTTCTTTCATAATTTCTATAGATATGTGATTAGCACATGTACGTACGAGTGTGTGGTTTGCACTTGATTTCAAAAAACAAATCGCTATATACCTTTAGGCGTTTCTTAAAATTTCCTCAACAGTGGGGGCTAAAATAAATGAAAACATCTTTTTTTATTCATTTGGTTCTTGGTTTGATAAATTATTTTATATCTTTTTATTTAATCTATTGACAGATTATACAAAGCGAAATTATTTGATTTCAGCATGATTTGCTTATAAATCACAAATGAGCCGTAAATTACGATAATGTGGACATGCTTTTAACTTTGCATTCATTTAAATGACATTGTGAAATATGTGGTTTCCGTGTACGCATGGTATTCTGGATTTTGGTATAACATCCAAAGGTTAATCAAGTCAACCCAATAATGCAAAATAGATAAATTTGCGCATTCCTGCTTCTAGCATAAGGGCGACGAAATGTATTTACTACACATTTATTAATTTTTTATACGCCTGCCCTACATATCTTCGTAGTAAGAAAATACAAGTCATATTTCGACACCTGAGTGGAAGATCGACGTATCTTGGCAGCCAGTTCGAAAACGCCCTATATCAGAAAACTTCTCAAGAACGCCCTATATCAGAAACTATCAATAGAAAAAATACCGAATCTACAAAAATCGATGAGAAATGATTGCTCAGTGTAAATAAAATGATTGCGCAATGAGCGCTTCCTGCTGATTTAACGAGTTTATTAACGATTAAACGTACTGAGTGATGAAAGCTAGATAAGCAAAAGAGACAGAACGCTTTTTAATGAGGAGTAATATTTTGAGTGGAAAGGAAGGTGAGGTAAGTTGAAAGAGATCCTTATTTTTTAACTCACAAAGTAGGTAATTACAATTTATTGATCTTGAATTGAGTTGTAGTGCGGAGGAAGATGGAAATTTAATTCCCCAGTGACGAATTTTTGCGAACTCTGTCAAAAAATACACTAATCAAAAAATTAAGAAAGGTATACAATAAGGGAAATTAAAGCTTAATAATCAGGCTATATGATCCACATGCCGGCTTAACTAAAACAATTTTTCTCATTCTTGCAAAATTATGTTTCGCACTATCTGTTAGGATTACATGGAGCCGTAGCGCCACAAAAGTTTTAGCCAAGATGCCTTTTTAAAATCTCAATACGACGGTGAAACCGAAATACAAAACTTTTCGAAAAATTTGGATAGAAACATATTCGTGGCACCCCACTTACAACTTATAAACCCCGATATTTTTCTACCAATTTGTATCAAACTCGGTTATTGTGCTTGCCACATAAAAGCAAAACGATGAAAATTATTGAAATCGGACTAAAATTACGGCCGCTTTTCATATAACGGTAAATTTCAGAAATGCTTGAAACTGCAATATTTCGAAATTTAAGGACGCTAATTTACTGAAAATTGATACACCCCGGCTTACCATCTAGCGGTAGCTTTCGGAAAGGTGAAAAAATATATATTTAATACTTGCGCCGGGTATTTAATGTTCGGCTCCATCCGAACTTAGACTTTCTTACTTGTTTTTAACTAGTTTTTTTTATGTAACATTTATTAACTGGAACTGGAAAATGCATTTTCTTCAAAATTAATACTTTATCTGCATTTTGCACTAAAAAATTTAATATAATCAAATAAAAGTTCAGAATTCAGGCTCAACTGGTCTCTTGTAAATATCGTAAGAATTCATAAAAAAAATTTAAATTAATCATATTAAGTGAAAAATTAAGGATCCAGTGAATTACGAACATTAAATGCCAGTTTTTAACCACTGTGCAGTAGGGGATTTATTGTTCTCTTTCAGTGGAACTGGAAACTCAGCGTACAACACGATCCTGGGTACAACTTTTCCTGTACTTTATAGATTGTACAAAGATTACGGATTAAATAGAAACCCTTAAGTGGGGTGCGAAACAAACTGGCGAAGGTTTTCATTATATTTTATAAGGGACAGTTTTATTTTTTCATATTCTGGGTTTAAAAATTTATCTCTGAAAAATGCAGAGCCGATTTAAAGGACTGAAGGCGTCCTTTATTTTGAAAAAAAATTATAAAGGACAGGGGTTAAAATAAAGGACTGTCCTTTTAATAAAGCCGTAGCCTAAATCCTTGATTTTAATGTGTTTGGTTAAAGCGGCAACAATATTTTTATACAAAAAAATATTTACTTAGAAAATACTGTGAATATTAAAAAAAAATCACCAAGCCGTGTCACTTTATTTGTCTAAAATAACACCAGTTGAAGTTTTTTCAAATCACGAACTTTTGTTGTTCCCTTTAGTTTCATCACTTTAACAATTTTAATTTTATTTTTTTTATTAAAATAACGAAAGAATTTTGTTTTATTTAAAAACGTTGCTAGTAGATATTTTCCATGTTTGGTAGATTTATTTCAAGTGGATGGTAACTTTTTTTTTCGTCGATGGCAACCCTGATTGCGCAGCCCCATGGCCTTATCATTTTGTACTCACTGCATTGCGAGTAAAAATGTCTGTG